AAGGATGCATGACGTGGCACGGCTTAGCGCCTGGCTGGTAGTGGCCCATGAATATTACCATATCCACAGGCCTAGAGATAAGTTGTGCGGTTAAACGGCTTTACTTTGCAAACTGCTGTTAGCACTTAACTGTAGAATTGTCTACAAAGACTATGAATTAATGATGAAAAGAAGTACACTAAAACCTCATTAATTTGAAGTCACTGAGGCCGTGAGGTGCTTCAGCTGCCACTCGTTAGTATCGCTACGTCGCTTTGTTTTGTGGCTCTTAAGGGCCGCTGTTTTCACGAATTTGCAGGGAAATCTGAATCATGAATTGGCACGTCACACCGAAACTTATCAAATTAACTAGATTGGTGCTGAGTGCCGCTTGAAATTAGCCACTCAGACTTGCATTGTCAAATACCGAACTGCAAAAATATTTCAAATTAAGCAGGACTTCAAAATTAGAGTTTGAATTAATGAGGTTTTACAATATAAGGGTTAGGATGAAGAGGAGGTATAATTTAGTACTCTGGGATAGACAATGGCTTAGCTGCCCAGTATGGTAAATTGGTCATTTGGAAAATTAAGGAAGCCCAGCAAGGTAGCATCTTTTATTCATGCTTATTCTTTTGGAAAACTCAATCTACACCCATAATCAGCCAAGAAAGACTTTAAAGGTTACCAAACATCACAAGAGTACTGCAATATCGGTGTTACCGAGTAGGAGCAACTCTATTAGGCTGCATATACTTATCCATGCAATCTAGTCCCAGTTTCTCTAAGTTGCTGTTTTTACCGATCTCAAGCCCTAAGCAGCAATGCAAATATGCGGCAGAAAGGAACCATTAAGTTAACAGGAATCACAGGTGGCTATTTTGAGTACCAGTTTACTCATAAGTGTTTGCAGACACTTAAGGCAGTTTTAAAAACTAATCCTTATAGTCTTCCTAATGAACTGCATGAAATTTTATTCTTACACCTAGTGATTCACTATGCACAACTTACTCCTTTTGTAGAAACATCAAGTTGTTTATTTTTTGCTGAGGTGGTATTCCGAGGATGATTGAAACATGACCGAAATCTTCTGTCATTTTGAGAACCTTACGCAGTTCCTGCATCATAAGAAGTAGGACTTTAATTATTAGTTTATTAAATTGAGTACAATAATGACTGCTCAAAGATTAAAAAAAAAGACTAGGAGAGAGTTTACCAAGCAATTTAATAGCCTTGCAATCATCAATCCTACTTGGACATTAGCTGACAAATACAATATCTCTCAAGAACACTTTAATAAAACTTAAATAACGCGACTCTAAGCAGGCGACCTAAAATGTGTGTGGCTACAAACTTCTCGGTATTTTGCTTACTCTCATTTTATTAGTTTTCTAATGGCACAGAATAACAGGCAAACTACAGAATTTGTTTGGAAAGTCTTAAACTGAGTGTCTTTTGGAAGATATCGGTTAACATTCACAACCTTCTATCACGTGTGCATTACCTGCACTATGCAGACATGTATTCAAAACAATTAGCATACATGAGCGAATCCCAACAAATACTAATGGGGGAGAAGCATCACTAGTGATACCCACACGTCACACCATTTATAAAACATATCAGTAGGGTTGTTGCACTGTCCTTTATAACTGTAATATAGTTCGGTATAATTTGATGAAGCCATGTAATGATGTTTGACACAACATTTTTTCATATCTAGTAATCATTATACTATTCACTGCATACCAATATCAGCAGCGTATAGTTCAGATTTGCTTTGCTATGTTCAATCACTTTCCCCAAGTTTGCTGCATCAACGTCCGACATTAAACGGTCACTGTAACACACCCTGAAGATATGAAGTACGTCTTGGCGAGGCCACTGGTCTGTCAGTATAGCCAGTGCATTGAAGCCCTTCACACGAAGCCAGGCTGTGCTCTCAAGCGCAAAATCTCGGGCCCGGTTGGCTGCGAGAGCACCTGATTCAACACCAGCCCCCACCAAACTCAACTGTCTGGCGAGTGTCGAGAAATGGTGCAGAGAATTTCCTGCAACGAACCATATAACATCATATTCGGAAGGGTGCCGTGCCACTGCTAGACACAATTTGGTTTTGTCCACCTTTATTCGACGAAATTGAGATTTTCAAGCACTTTTTTTTCTTGCAGTGTTATGCCTACACTCACTTGCAAGGTTTTTAAAAAAGTAGGGCAATGATGTAAGTAAAAAATATGCTTGATATATTGTGCCTAGTGGTTGTTAATAAGTAGATCACTGACCAAATGTAAAAACAACATGTAATGTTTCGAGATTAATACATATTCCAAAGCATATTTGTTATTTTGACACAGGTCAGTGATGTAATTAACAATACCTTTAACTGATCAGATGGTATTCCGTCAAACCCTCGACTACATAAGTTATAGCGGTTAAAAAAGAGCTTCATTTGTATGCTTTACAGTGGTGTAAAAATGCTGGCATACAGGTTTCGTCCAACTCTGCAAGTACGTGATTTTTCAACGTAACTTACTCAGCATCAATGTGTACCTGATCAAGCATGCTACCTTTCAACAAACTTTTCTTTCTTGAACATTTTGCATGCACTATGTTACGAAATTGAAATATTTGCACCATTAAAGACTTGTAGTACAATAACACCAGTGGTGCACTATATACTTGCTTTGATGGATATGTCGTGAGTCTTCTAATGCTTTTGTTTGTTATTTTGCAGAAGCCCTTTGTTCTTGTGATCTAAGGTGGTTTACGTCACAAACTCTATTACACATTTGCATCTGTTGCTAACAAGTTTACACTTACCGTAAAAAAAAGAATATAGGTCAGACCGGAATATAGGTCGACCTCCCAAACTTTGAATCACCGAAAAAAAAGTTTTTTTAAGTACCTATCACATAGTGTCCCAGCGCACCCTTATCTTGGTAAATACATGACACAACCAGCTTCACTGTAGTGACATTTTTTTTTTATTTAGACACTAATCTTATGTAGTTAAACGCCAGAAGCCTACAATGTGCTGTCACTCAGACTCGTCGAAACTTAAATTTGACAATGTCTGTTTTTCACTAGCAACGTCCAAGAGTGCATCGTTTTTCGTTCCATCCAATGTGTTGCCGCTGCAGGATTTGCGAAAAGATAAAAGTACGCTGCCTCAGCGCAAAGCCCTTTCGCTCCATAAATAGGCACATTCATGATGGTGATACCTGATAATACTAATAGACAAATGTGTATGTTTGTCACCATAAGCTTGGCCCACTTCAGAGCATTCAACTGCGAAAGTAAAAACCAAAAGTAAATATTCCCGGTGACATTTTAACGAAGCACAAAGATGTCCAGGTAAAATGGCGACGGTCACTGCAGCATTTAGTGTCAATGCAAGTATCGTAGAATGAATCAAAGCTAGTTATTTACGAAGTGGAATTACAAAGCTCTCATTCTACAGTGAGCAGTTCTTCTAGAATTCATTGCTGCAAGTTTTAACTATTGTAAAATCTTTAGCAAGCACCCCACCCCTACTTTTTTTGAGAGACATGCTCCAATAACAAAGCAAGCACTCCTTACACCCTCCCTTTCTGCCATTTTCACTGTTTCATTCACCGTCTTCAACAGTCAATTCAAGCGTACTCAGTTTCATTAAACCATGGGTGTGCATTTTTTTCTAAATGACTCTTCCTCTTCGACCTTGATTTTTACTCTACAACTGAGCAAGGGCTCCTCCCTCCAGATCTTTCCAGATATCTTTCACAGTAGGGGGAGAGGGTGCTTGTTTTCAGGATTTTACGGTAGACCAAGTTGCACCTGATATCAATTGTCAACAGTATTGATGCGTGCAGCAACGTTAACCTTTTTTGCTTAACTGTCCGTTATTGTTTCTTTAATAATGATGTTAAACGCACCATCCTTGACGACCAGAGTCTTCTTGACTTCATCATACAATACGGTGGTGTAGATGGCAGCTGTGCAGAGGCCTTTTGGTGGCAGCAAGCTCTCAGAGATGGCACCGCTGAACACACACAAAAGGGACCCTGCAACAACATTTGTTCACCAGCTGGAAGTCTGCTTTATAACATTCGGTGCTGCCCAAGCAGCATTTTTTGTATCGCCACAAAGTTGTACAATACCAAAACTAACATTTGGAAAAATTTTAATGTGAATCGTCTGATGCCTCGAGCATTCCAGGCTTTTTGTTGTAGTACTATACTGCTGAAATGGATCTTGAACACATGAACTTTGAATTAAATCAGAACAATTACTTTGTGTGCCTCAACTACTTCACAGCTACTTAAGCTTCAACCCCCCCCCCTCCCCCATTTTGATTCCCCCATAAAAATGCGATACAGGCCTTGGTGCACATGCCTCCCCAATATTACTACAATAAAGGCACCATCGGTGTTTCAAGCTAATACACTTACCTTTAACCTGGGTTCTGTTGTTGGTTGCCATGCCAATCCTACCCTTCTCTGAGTCGCTTTTATCTGCAATATAATGCATTATGTAAAGCACGGCAAGGCACACAAGAGCTTGATAATAAGACCTGAAGTTGTATGAATATATCTGTACTATAAGTCACTGATGACAATGCTCACCTGACTGAGTAATGTCGCTCCAATCAGAGCTGTAGCCTGAAATAGAAAGCGTATTCTGGATGTTTATACCAAATATACCAAAGGCAGGTATAATGTGCTGTGCTAGCAAACGAAGACCAAACACCCTCAGCAGGCAAGTGGCAAAATATTTACCGGCAGCTTTTCCCAGCGACTTGAGACGTGCGAAACGCTCCTTGTGCACACTGCAGGATGATGTTTCTCGATCATAATCAACGTTAAACACAGCCCAACAACTTTTGGGGCGAGCGGCCATTATTTTTTCCACCTAAAGAAAAGGAAAAGAAAAGCTTTAGGTCCCGCCCAGGAGCAATAGGCCACAAAGAGATGAATAAATTTTTAAAGTTGCACAGACAAAGAAACAGAACTACGCTGTATCTATATTTCGAAACTGAACCCCTATGAAAGATGCTAATTTGACATTGAACCAACAAACCAAGATTGCAGCATCTCGAAAGCCCATCAAAACTCACTTTGGCTTTGATCAGTAGCTCCTCTTCGAATGCATCCCACAGTCCATCTGTGTGCCGATGTGCACTCATGGAGAACAGTGCATCATTGGATTCGTTCCATAAGCCAGATTCACAGTACTAAATAAAAGAATAAAACAAAGAAATAAGCAAAGAGCACATTGCAGATTACAAAGAATAACTCTAAAATCTAAGACTGCATACGTTGGGTATTTCTCGAGACTTGGTGCACGGAAGATCCGAACCAGGCGTGTCGACATAGTGAAATCGTAGGGTAGCCAAATTGACTGACAGACAAATGTGTATGTTTGTCACCATAAGCTTTGCCCACTTCAGAGCATTCAACTGCAAAAGTAAAAGCCAAAAATAAATATTCTCGGTTACATTTCAACAAAGAACAAGGATGTCTAAGTAAAATGGTGACAGAACCATTGCATACATGAATTTGGGATTAATATAGAATGAAACGAGTCTCTTAATGCTTTTATTTGTTATTTTGTAGAATCCCTTTGTTCTTGTTCATCTAAGGTGGTTTACATCACAAACTCTATTACACATTTACATCTGTTGCTAACAAGTTTCCACTTACCGTAAAGAAAAAAAGAATATTGGCCAGGCCGGAATATAGGTCGACCCTCCAAACTTGAATATCCGAGAAAAAAAATTTTAAATATCGCACAGTATCACGGCGCACCCTTATCTTGGTAAATACATGACACAACCAGCTGCACTGTAGTGACATTTCTTTTTATTTAGGCACTAATCGTATGCAGCGGTGGCGCGTATGTAGCCACCGCTGCATACGTGCCAGCCGATTGACTGACAATCCTCTTTTTTTCTCTTTCTCTTCTCTTTCCTCTCTCTCTCATCTTTATGCCCTTTTCCCATTTCCCCAGCATAGGGTGGCGAACCGGGCATGTGCCTGGTTAACCTCCTTACCTTCCCTCTTGTTGTTTATCCTTCCTAGGCACTAATCTTAAGTAGTTAAACTCCAGGAGGTCACAATGTGCTGTCACTCAGACTCGTCCGAACTTGAGTCCGACGATGTCTGTTTTTCACTAGTAAAGTCCCATAATGCATCGTCTTCCGTTCTATCCAATGCGTTACTAATGCAGCATTTGCGGAAAGACGAAAGCACGCCGCCTCAGAACAAAGCCCTTTAACCTCATAAATCGCCGCACCCACGATGGCAATCCCTTGAATTGCACCCTCTCAAGCCCAGAGTCATGCGCTATCTTGAGAGCTTTCACGCGGACACACTCAGCTGATATGGGTGGCGACATTGCAAGCAGCTACTGGATGAATTCGGCGAGTAGCGTTTCCTGTTCCGGGTGCACTGCAATCCGTCTGTGAAACTGTTTTTTGTTTTGTTTTGGTTTCTGCAGCATGTGATGAGCTGCTTTTGGCTCCTCCAATACCGGACGCTTTTCTCCGATGCACGAATTCCCGTTGTGCCGCCAGGTTGCCGTGCACTTCGGCATACTAATAACTTTGTTTTTAAAGCCTATCATAAACTTCCATCGACTACCACTTATTTCTAAATGAAATAGAAACAAGAAAACAGCAGACAAATAAGAGGCAAAACGGCGTTGCTAGAACACTAAGCCTTGCCTAGCCATGCCCAACGGTGCCGCTGCTGATGCTTACCATAAAAATGGAAGTTTTCAACTTCAGCTACTCATTGTTGAGACAATTCCACATTTTTTTCTGCCAATGACAGGTATATAAGACGAGGGCCGACATTTCATTGCATTTTTGTGAAAAAAAAATTGACGTATATTCCGGTTTTTACGGTACATTCATTTACTCATTTACTCCTTATACCTTACACAGCCCAATATGGCATTGAGTAAGGGGGCAAGTACAAAGTAAGTTAGGAAAAATACATCAGTAAATACAAAAGAAATAAAGAGAGAAAAAATTATGCACTGTAAAAATACACAGAAAATTAAAAGAAGAAACCAAAACATGTATGATGTATAATCTATATGGAGTGCAAAGTACGATCAGACAGAGCAATAGCATTTATTTCACAAAAAAATGACACACTTGGCACGCCCTAGCAAAAAAAAAAAAGTGCAGGAAGACTTTGCCGAAAAAAATAAATGGTGTGGACATGATGCTTATGCAAAAAATATTTATGCAACTGATCAAGAAATGCCTGATGATTACTAATAGATGCAATTTCATCGGGAAGATCATTCCACAAAACTGCTCACTATCACATTAGGGAAATGTGAGCTAATGTTGTACATAAAAATACATGTCAAAACCTCACAAAATGAAACATCAATAATGTCCAAGCAACTCACCATAGGCACTGACTGTTGGCATGTGTTATTGCTCTCTTGGAAGATAGAGGGATAAGCTGACCGGCAGAACTTCCAGAGGCGTCGATAGTGTGTTTGCAAAATGATGACATCGGCAGCACTAAAGGCGATATAAAAGGAAGAATGTGTATTAGCTCTCACATACATCCAGAGTGACGAGTTACTCTTCCTATTATGAACGCTTACTAGTTTGATGTTTTCCAGACTGCATGCATCAAATGAGCATATTTTCAGATGTTTTTCTTCTTTTCTTTAAAGTTTTTGTGTAACCTGATAATGGCTTAGTAGGTCCTTACACAACTTGTTGAACAGCAACATTGTAGCAATCAAGTTGTTATGAACCCCAGTGGATAGATGCCACTTTTAGCAGGCTGTGGATGTCATTGTGTTGCAGGTGCCACGCTGTTCCCCATAAATAAGTGATGAGAGGCCCAATATAACACGAAATTCGTGCAGACATTTCTCACCTAGTAAGTGGCAATAGTCGATCAGCAACCTCCTTTGGCTTCAAATCAAAATCTGGTATCTCCAGACCCAAAGCCAAGGTTAGATTCTTTCCTAGTGAGAGCCTAAATTGCTGTACAACACACAAAAAAAAACATTAAGAAACTGCACATAGTGCAAGAGCTCAAGCAAACTCCTAAAACAAACACACCACTGAAATTCTTAACTGTACATTGTTTTCTTAGTCGAGTGAAGACTTAGTAGAATCAAAAACACTTTTGGACATACTATATTTCAATGCCTTAATAAACCTGTCATTTCATAAGCAACTTCTGTCATTCAGGAAATACTTTACAATAAGCCACCTTTTCATGTTATAGACTGATTGACAGTTGCAAGTTTTCAAAGAACTGTGAAACACACTCCCCTAAAAAAACCCAACTAATGCCATAGTGAAGCTCTTTTACTAGAACGATTGCAAAGGTATACGAGGACAACACGTTAGGAACCATTACTAAAGGAAACCTTAAAGGCAATATATATTATGAACATCAAACCTATCAGGTATTCCCTGAGAGAAAGCATTGCACAAACTATAATATTAGAGAAACACATTTCCCTAGCTCAATTAGCTTTTGTTCCCAAATATGCATCAACCATAAAAATATTGGATAGCAGTGATGGAAGTGACCTTTTACTTTTCGGAGCCTACTTTTAAACAGGAAAAGTACTGTTTTGGAGCTGCCACATCTGTTTTCGGAGTGGGAAAAGCGTTACTTTGGAACGGCTATTGGTGTTTTAACAGCATATACCAAATTTGCCGTAAACCAATTGGAGTTCAAAGCATTGTCTCATAAATATTAATTTTCATTATAAAATATATTTAACAGACAACAATCAATGTAAATTTCAAGGAATAAATAACTGAAAAAATGGCTGGTTGCAGAAAATGTGCAGTGAAATGAGCTATACAATTAAAATACTAGTATTTATAGCAGAAATCAAATCAAACCGGAAAAGCTGAGCCCCACATTTTAGAAGTAGCCACAGCCCTACATTACTGTTGCCAAACAAGCAGTAGATAGTTGGTATAAGATAAAAATAATCCTGCTCGTTTTGACATTTCGCAACACTAGCCTGCAAGTATAGCTGAAAAAAAAAAAAAAAAAAAAAAACTGACAAATGAGTTATATGTTTGTCAGTTTTTGCTACAAAAATGAGGTCAGATCTGATAATGATGCACACTAGTAGCATAATGGGATAATAGTATACAGATTTTTTTCAGTTTTGTTTGAATTTATGAGCTGGTTCAACAGTAGAAGTTTGTCATTCTTATTCTCTAAGTGCTATTTTGGAGCACATTGGAACAATTACTATCAAAAATTGCTGTTTGGAGCAGCATGGAGCAGCATTTTTCTTTTGGCACAGTTTGGAGCAATCGAAGTAGCACTTCTATTACTGGTTCAGCTGAAATAGTTCGATATTTTTGGCAAATTTTTTTTCCCTTTGATGCCTCATCAAACAGCATAGTCAGCTATTAGGTGTCCTGTAAATTAGGGCATTACCATTATAAAGAGTAACTATGCCAACAGAATGGTAAAAGCTTATTACTATGTTTCAAAGCAAAAGTGTGCCATCTTTGTCCAGATATGCTATTTCAGTTCTTTTTAGTCTTGTGATGAAACTGAATCAGTAAGTCCGCGAGAGTGGCCCACATTGTTACTACTATCATAGTGGCTTATTGCCAAGTGATTTTAGGAACACAATGAGGCACTATACAAATGTTCAAACATATGAACATATAGCTAGAAAACCATTTTAAGAGTACATGTTCATGTTGCCAGTGGCAAAGGACCCTACACTGAGTCTTCATATTCAAATCATGCAAACTCAGAACAATGCAACAAATATCACGACAAACATTTTAGTAAGCTGGAAGCTTATATCAACTCACCTGAAGCCTTTCATTAAATGAGGACAAAAGAGGCGATGCTATATGCTGGTTTAGCACTGCAATTCCATTCAACTGTAGCTTTGAAATGGATGCTGACAGCTCCTGAGCATACTGCGAGATATTCCGCAGGGGTATCTTCGACACTTTTACCAAATACTGACGTCTCTTGCCGAATTTTTCTTTCAGTACCGTTACTGGGTCTTTGGCTGAAAGCAGAATAAAATTAAAGGCACATGAGCTATTTTAATGCATAAAAAGCACTATCCAGCTGGAAGCTATGACAGGATAAATTGTATATACACTCAAATCACATCAACCTTAACTGTGAGAGTACCGGTCTTTTCTTTTTTAATTATCTCAAGTTTTTGAATCTTAATTTGATGAAGTGTAGTAAAAAGATGTTTAGTTATCTGACATCAAATGCTGTAGATTCATTAAACAGAAATCTGTTAAATACTTAAATAAAACTGTCTCTGATATGATTGCTTCAGTACTTGTACTCTGCACCTCTGTTCATTTCGCAGTATCCTGTTAAATGAAACACGCTTTCCTGGTCCCTTCAAATTCTACTTCAAAGGATGATGCCACCAAATTTTTGGCTTGCACCTTCTTCGCTGTAAGCGTTTCTTTTAGCTCCAGGAAGCATGATACACGTCCCAAGATTCATGTAGTCTACGAACAACTTTCCCTTTCGGTTCCTATGTGCCGAGTTGGGCAGAGATGAAGCAGTGTAGGTGGCTTGGTCATGCCACCAGACAAGGCTGTGACGCACATCATGCTGAGGATTGTGCAATCTCACACACATCTTCCACACAAGCACCAGCAAAACAAATGTGCCAGGAGCGCACTTGCTTTGCTGGTGCGATGGCTAGCTGCAGCTGCTGGGAGTGATATAGCAATCAGTGCTTTGCAGGTACATACATTCTGGTGGTGGCAGAGGTCCAGAGGTCACTCACATCCCTACATATCTGGTGCGACGCCACAACAACTTGCGTTGAACTTTTTATAGAGCTACGTGAGTGCTGGATGCACTGGTGATGGTCTTGATTGAGAGAATAAGCATTTAGGTACACTTTGGAAGTGAATTAAAATATATTCTGAATTACTGGGTCTGACACTTCGTGTGAAATGTCCATGCATATAGAGGAAACCCACAACAGGCTTGTTATAGCCTTTAAATTATATGGCACCATCTCTTTAAAAATGTCTGCTGTACAGTGTGGAAAGTTCAAGCTTTCTACAGTCATGTTCATTGCTAGGTTTTAAGGACATTAATAATCACTCCTCATTGTACAGCAGAGCCCATTCCATCTGCTCCACTTATTGAGCAATTAATTAATACAATAGGTGGGTGACAAATAAGATCATAAGCTATCACTCAAAGAGCATGCAGTACTCAAGCCGAGAAGTAATGAACCTAATATCCTATAAGTAGCCTTGCACTGAGTATGCACTTAAAAAAAAAAATTAAGCTTACTCAACTTCGGCAACTTACTCAAACCAGTTTTGAAGGTCAGGTGCGCCACATCAATAACAAAATGGGAGCAGTAAACATCGGGAACATCATCAATTTTTGTCCACTCTTCACTAAGAACACAAAGCAGTGGACGGCTTGAGGTGGGCACACCTGTAAGAATTTCATAATTTAACACACAAACTGTGCTGCTGTCCCAAAGTCCTACAACACACAAATTAAACGTGTATGTTTCATAACTCATATACAAACAAAACTAAATGCTAGCTGTCACCTGAGCAAATCTCAAGTAGTATGTGCAAAATTGCATAATAGGGTAATAATTTAATACCATGGACACCACACATAATTATTGGAATAAACACAATGGTAATACAAGATATTCACAGTGAACAAAGAGCACCATTTTCAGTTGTTTTCTGTGCTTGTATGAAATTTCAAAGCTCAATTTCTCGTGCATTTTAAAGCAATTCCCAAGCTTCTAGATTATTGTGTCAATAGCTTAACTAGCATATAATGTGTACCGGTCTGTTGCCTGCCGTGCCTTTCAGGCAAGGTCTCCTGTATATGCCATGACGCAGCAGCTAGTTGAAAGAATCTAAAAGAATTAGCTTTAGAGATCCTATGCATGATGCCAATTTCAGCCACAAATTTTTGACCACTTTTATAAAGTCTGCCTTGTTATGGGCCATCTCGGCAAATTTTTGTAAGTGCACCAGAAAGCAAAGCGTGGCCATGATGTCACGGTAGTCTAAGGCTGCCTTGAATCATTGACATCAATGCATACTTCCTACTTTGTCTATTTAAAGCTGCTGTATATTGTCACTCACGCAACGACATGAGGTTGCCTCGAGGTAGCCTTCGGCCTGGTATATCAACTTTTTCTGCACAAAAAGAAAAAAAAAAAAACGAAAGAAGGATCAGACATTGTTAACTTGTTCGCTGCAAGCCATTTGAGTTCCAAGATGAAACTGAAATGAAGCTTTACTTATACGCTACCACTGTCTACAGTTCACAGATATCTGGACTATTACTCGACAGTCTAATCTGCTTGTTCAACATTAGTCAACCAAGGCACAGAACTAAGGTTTAGATATTAAGTGTTCAAAATGCTATAGAAGGCACATGTTGGGAGAGAGAAGAAATGACATCTTACTTATCAATTCTGGATGGTTGTTCAGTGATGAGCCTACAAAACAAAATAATATGTTTAACAAGTTTTTCAAATCAAATCAAATGAAACCTTTATTTTGCATAGTGTTCTGCCTATGCTTGGCCTACCAGATGGAGCAGTTTGATACGTACGTGTTCTATTGAACGGGAGCTTTACTAGTCCACTCCTTTTCAATGGCCGTGGCCTCTGGTGCTGGTAGCTTAGGTAATCTGAAAGAGAAGCGAACTTTGGCACACTGCACATCTCAAGTAAAAAAAAACACCCTTCATGCATTTCCAAGCTATATGAAAAAGAACAACTTATGTAGTTTCATGTTAAAATATCACGAGGCATGCATTAGTAAAGAACTGTGGATTAATTAGACCACTTCAGGTTACTGCATTTGCATTTGGCCCATCAGAATGTGAATGCTGATACCCAAGAATTGAACACACAACTTTGTGCTTAGAATTGTCACACAACATCAACTAAACCTATATAGCAGGTAAAGGGAAAAAAAGAAGAGGAAAACTATTCATTACAGTCGTCAAGGGAACATATATGCAACAAATGTAATATAGTCACCTAGAGAACTTTACTCATTATAAATGGTAAAGACAGAAACATACAGGCATGTGATGACACACATATCTTGGTTTCAATGAATTTGCACTCTATGTTAAATACCGACAATTCAACATTATTTTTTTGGTCCAAAATTTTGATTGGCAGTTGTGTTTAGCAAGAAAATATAAAATACTGAAGGATATTATGACTGAGATTACGAATGGATTATAGTGGCAAAAGTTATGAAACAGAAGGAAAAACTTCCACTGAGTGCAAATCTTGTGATCACAAGAGCAAACTCTACAGAGATCTATTTTTGTCACCAGCTAAATAAAAGTCGGTGCTAACTAAAACAATGCCAGATGTTTTATTGGATATAGACCAAAAAATACTGCCTTGTTGTGAAACTTCAGCAAAAGGAAATCGGTGGCATACACAATTTTTTTCAGCAAATAAAAATGCCAGCAAATGCACACGAGTTTGATACACTTACTCTGCACAACTGAAGTCATTCGCCCAAACTTTTGAAAGCATCCACTATTGTAGTTTTCATAGTCCACATTAAACAATGCCACACATGCTCCTGTGTTGCGATCAAAGGCTTTGCTAACCTGTTCAAAAGCAAAGCACAAAGGTTTCTTCTAAGTGAGTACTCTTTGACTGAAGACAAATATTAGCTTATTGATAGATATTTTCTGCATTGAACAATAGTACACTCATACCTCATAATATAGAAGTTGCATCTTACATAAAAAGTAAGTTTGTTATATCTGAAAATTTGTCATAAAGCTTATTCTTACCACTATATCTATTACACAACTATTTTTCATTTACCTTGTTATAACTGATATTTTGTTATATCCAGGTAAGTTATACTGAGGTTTGAGTGTGCGTTCATTTTTTCAGATACCACAGCAGATAACCATGCGGTGTTTTAAACGAATAATGTTGCTCCTTCTTTGTTGCAATGAAGGAGAGGGCATGAAGTGTAGACATGCTAGCGCTAAGAAAATCAGTTCTGTTATAGCCTTGAAGAAGACTAGCCCACTTGTTGAAATGTCAGCTTGACAAAACCACGGTTTATGAATTTTTTTATGCAAGCTTCCATTTTCTTCTTCCTACTATTTTCTGGATGCTGGGTTAGTTTTTTAGTTTTTAAATTTTAACATTAGAAACATTGAGCTATCAGTGGCTGGATAGTTTACTTCATTTGTGTTAATTTTCATGCAGCCAGACAGATCTCTGTCGAATATGTTCACCTTTAAATTAAATAGCTTGCAAGTTAAATAGCTTGCCAAATCTGGAATTTAAAAAAAAATGGCAAAAAACATCCATAGACAAGCAAGGAAAATGCATTATCTGTCAGGTGACTGCAACAGCTATTGACAAGCAACCTCACTTTACTGATACTTCAGTTAAAAAACAGTGCTAATCTTTTGCAATATTTATGTTGAAATTGAGAGGGCCTCAGTTGGAGCCCATCTGCCATGGGGTTATTTTTATGTAATTCAAATTTTTTGGCATGGTTGGCAAGTGAATATCAAAATTTTTGAATACAAATCGAATACCACTACATAACTTCGTATATGAATCAAATATTGAGTAACGAAGAGGCGCAATTTTTTCCACCAGTAATCTATTACTCAATCATATATTTAGGTTGCAAATAGTACAATTGTTATTATAGTCAGTTATTCCACACAAAAATGTCCCCACCTGTACTTGCCAGAAAGCATAAGACTAATAGGTGAGCTTGTGACTGTGACGTTGGGTTCAATTCACATGATGAACAAACCTTTTATATCTTTTTTTATGTGGTAGTACTATATTACAAAAAGAAAAGAAAGAAAAGCTTTTGTACCTGCCTTTATGACTAGTGAGCATGAGGCCATTGGTATAATTTTGTAACAGTTAACACCCATGCACTCAAGTCTAAGCGATTATTAAAGCAGTCTAGATGGTCACAATTCGTCCAGTTTTAGCTCCAAAGACCTCAATTTGTAGTTTCATTTTTATTTTTTTTTTCCTTGTTCTCATATCCATTCAAGTCATTAGGAAAAGAAGAGTACTTGGGGCATTTTTCAACTACATAGCATTACTCATTATCTCCCTTCCGTTGCCTTTTTCGAGGACCGCGCTCCCCATTTTAGGATCAAGAATGCTGTGTTCTTCTTTCATCTCTTCTTCTCCTCCTGTCTCACGAAATGTTCTTCGGGCCTCAGTATACTGCACCAAATAAATTTTAGGTTCGAAAAAAATAGTGATTTTGGCCGAATTATTTTATATTGAATTCGAATAGTACATTTGACAAAGAAAAATCGGGATATTTATCATGACCTAACTAACCTGCAGAATTTTTAAAAAACGAAATATAACCTTTATGCAAATTCTCTTTCTTTTTTCGTTCAAAAGTGAGTAGTAGCAGGATTTTACTTTCAGCAGGATGTGAGTCATAGCCCTTAAAATACGTAACATTTTAAGAGTTATTATACTTAAAGCATATAAGCCGTCATAATTAGCTTTTAAGCTTAATAAAATGAATTGATTCGACAGTAATGTTTTCACTTAAAGGGGTCTTGCGACACTTTTTCAAGTAGCCATGGAATGCATTCACTAAAGAAGCTTATTTATTGCCTCATGACTTAATCGCCCCCAATATTTTTAGAATCTGTCCAGTACGAGCGGAGTCGCAAAGATCTCTTGCACGCTGCTAGTGCATTCTCTCTTCTCATCCCGGTGAAAGCACTGAAAGCTAAACAGGAAGGGATGGCATGTGAAAATAAAATACGCCGCACATGCTTTCTGAGCTTGTGGAGTCATTTGTCGAGAGAAGAGAACAATTTTTAGCCGACTGAAAATTAATTTTCAATTGCAGGCCGCGTGCTGCAGTATAATATTTAACTTGCGTATCCTCGGTAGCCTCGACTGCCGCAGTGTCTTCTGACAATGCTCAAAAAGTATTGCAGGGCTCCTTTAAATTTGAAGAGGGACTTGGCAGCAGAGCAAATTTCTCCTGGACAGGTGCTTTCGTGGTTTCAGCACCCCTACACTGCAGTGAAACCACATTTAAAGGTGGTTCGATTGGATTAGTATGCACTTATTCGGTCCTTGCGAAAACTTTGAAATTTTGAATAATTTAAATTCGAAATGAAGCGAATTCAAATACCCCAAAATTAATTTAAATATTCTATTCAAATATTTGCACAAGCCTACGAACGAATATTCAGGAACATCAAATATTCGAGGAATATTTGAATATTCGAAATTTTTGAATATCTGGTTATCGAATCAAATATGACTATTACAAATGCAATATTTGCCAAATATTCGGAACTTTCGAATATTTGCGCACTCCTTATTAGCGTTTTACAGAGTGAACAAGAATCTCCAACCTTAGCAGACAGTTGATCTTCAGTTTCATATGCCTGCCAGCGCTTGCCCTTTTGCCGGAGAGTGCAGAGTGCACCGCGAGGCTGTCGAACTTCAACCCACTTTTCAGTGTCGCAAGCCTGCGAGAGGAGTAGCAAGATATGTATTACATTTTCTTTGCACACTGGCGCTCTATGAAAATAAAGTACAGTTGCGTTTCCGTCTAAAGGCTGCTTAGGTGAGCTGCAGATGCAATGATAAAAGAAAAAAAAAACACTCTGTAGGCACACTCAGGTATCTTGTGTGTAAATTTTGAAAAGATAGTGCAAAACAAAAGTGCGAGGGATACATTCCACACTTAGTTACAATGTGTCAAATGAAGGTCAAATTCTGAGATACATACTGAATGTCTAAACCACAAAAACACAATTGTTTATGAAGCTGGCTATAGAAGAGGACCTTGAATTAACTTTGATCTGCGTATGACGTGACCAGTATGAAAAGCTGTCGAGACAGTTTTACTAAACAAAAAGAACTCTTACTGATCTTGCAAGCAATCTTGATAACCATCAGAATGAAATTGCCAATTTCACTGAAATTGACCTTTTCTTTCACCACTAGCACACCGTTCAAGCATATTCGAGGCACCTTCGATGTAGAAAAAAGTATCTGTTGGTGACCCTACACTTGACATAAAAGGTCGAAATTCAATAAAATTAAGTTGTTAAAGAATAAAATAAACTGCCAATGTTAATGACATTGTTAAATTAGAGGTTGAACTGCACATTATGTACATGACTGCTTCTCCTCATTCTTCCTTGATATAATATTTGAACATTGCTGACACATGCTAATATACTGAGAAACCCCTCACATCACAGTGAAGCACACCTCATGTAGAGCAAGAAAACGCTTGTGGAAAGCTTACCTCAGCATAATTAAGAACTTTTCGCTGTTGGCAAAGGTAGGAGTCACCTGAAGCTGAGAACTCGATAATGGCCAGGTTCACAGAAAAGCATGCCTGCTTGCCAGTACCCATATGTCCAAGCCAGCGCAGAGCGGTGTCCTATACAAGCCAAACAAGGACGATGTCAGATTAATGCGTTCCAGATTACCACTCACAGTATTCTTGTTTTTCTGCTTGTTTATAAAACAAGACGCATCAGTGTAAGTACTGAAGTTAAATTGATGGACAATGCTTTATCGTCAGCAGAAGAGAGTTTACCAGCAAATGAGCAAGCAACGATTGAATGTATCGATTCCTAAAGCACTGACAAAAACTAAGAGACAATCAGCTAGGCAAAGTATAGGGCATGTTATTTGAACTAATTATGGTGTAAACATGAATTGAAAGTGAATATATCACATAAAAAATGACATCCTTGGCTTAATTGCCTGCTGGTTCTCACTAACGATACGTCTAACAAAACAAAACAAAACAAAAAAAAACAAGCCCACGCGTTTCATAATTCCTAAAGCAGTTACATGCGATACCACATGCAAAGATGACGAACCCAGTTCTGTAAAAATAGCATAAAATTATTAGATTTGGTTCTGTGAAACAAAAGAAAAAAGAAAATGAATGAAAGGCAGCTGAGCTTTTAGTTTCAGTTTTCTCTATTCTGCCTTACCACAGGAAGAGTTGGGGAATGGTTGGGCATATCGAACGTGGATGGGAGTGCCACTTCACAGTAGCCAGGTGACTGCCTGTAGTGGGTCTGGAACACCACCAAATGGCTGAACCTGCATAATATGAGCACATTAGACAACTGCATCATAATATACAACATCGTATATGACTACCTGAATATGTCTTGAAGGCGAACTGCCATCACAGTTGGAGGTGCAGTAATGTCGACAACATCCAGGCTGACTACAATTTGCAAGTCATTGCCAAATAATTCATGAATCACCTGAAAAGAGCATGCATTTAGAAATTTTTTAGATAAAGAATTGGTTTGAAGCTTCTGGAGGTATTTTTTTTTCTTTGTTCCAATAAGATACGAGAGAGAGAAAGACAGGTTTATTTACAGAAAGACAGAGAGGTCGGCCTGAACGATAGCTTGCTCTAGCCTGCTACTCTACACTGGGGGAGGGGAAAGGGGAGAAGAAAGACTAATGGATGACAATGGTGAGATAGAGAGGTGAGTATATAGAATTCTTTCTAGCTGACAAAAATGTTATAGCCGCACATATAATCCAGTTGCTTCCAAAAAGGTTATAACCGCTCTTATGACCACAGTTGCACTGTTGGTGTCTGGCCAAGGGTCCAACACGCTCTCATCAGTTAATAAGATACGAGAAAAAACAATCTTTTAAAATGGCAGCATTGTTGCTACGAGTTTCACCAAAAAATGTACAAATATAATATTTGCACACAAGTCTAAAAACATATTTTTTTGTGAAAGAAACTTCTGTGAATGACTTTTTAAATGTAATTTACTATTTAAAGCAGGTTTTAGAGACATCTTTGAAAAATTACCAAGTGCTCTTTAAAATTAAATATTTGTTTTTGAACAAGAATCACAAGAATTGCACTTATAATTTTCCTTATCGCTTTTCTATTTTTATGAGATGCATTTGACATGGCTCCACAAGCAGAACATCTCCACATTTAACATGTGCTTACCAGAGTAAGCATAGCACCTCAAAGCAGACACACAAAGCTGTAACACACATGCAAACATACTCTTATGACCGGGATGTAGTAAATATTCCCAAAGGCAGATGAAAGATGGGTAACTTCTACAGCCAAGGTAATTGGACAATTAACCACTAATCAGTTGGCACACAACAGCAGCAGTTTTGGCCAGAGCAATGAATCACAATGTCAAACTTTAAGCAGTTCGAGTATTGCTATACTTACAGCAAGGGAGTCTGACAATTTGGCAATGCTTTGAGATGTTCTGTTCACGTTGAGTAAAGCAAGTCCATTGAAACCCTGCTCTCTCAGCACTTGTGCTGAGCGCTTGCCAAAGGCCAGGCCCGCTTTGGAGCCATACGTGATGAGGTAATCAATGAGGCTGTCATCGTCAAAACCAAGGAAGAGCGACATGTCATGGCGCAGCTGCCTCCAGCGCCATGTTCCTCCTAGGAGCAGAAAACACACTTGCCATCAGATGTGGTCACCCAAAATGTTATTAAGGTGATCAAACTAACTTTTATTATGACTTATTATAGGGTTTATGAAGCAACAAAGTGAAAAATGATAAGCTATAAAATTAGACAATGATTGAAAGGCAGCGGTGTGGTTTAGAGCATGGGTCGGAAACATGCAGCCCTGGTACTATTATGCGGCCCCTGGCACAGGGTCAAACCACCTACCCCCTTTTTTTCTTTGCAACTTCCTATATGAAGACTGACATGGCAGTTTTGGCCTCAAATGAAATTTTTGCTAGCAACCTATGTTTGATTACAACTTTGCGATGCGCATACTGAAAATAAACATGATTTTTAATCCAACTTAACAAGCTAGTGCCATTTCACCGAATTTTACATTTTGCATGCTAAACCCCACCTTCTCTTCCGGCTTAGCTTTCTGTGGGGCCCCCCGCAGCGTTGGCTTCAAGCAACTCGGCCCCCAACCTCAAAAGATTGCTTATACCAAATTTAGAGGGTAGGAGGCGATAGCAAGTATATTTAATCGAGAATAGAAGGGAAAGCTGGAGTTGGGCAAGTTCGGACAACAATAACTAATGGTGCGTTGAGAGAAAGGATAGCGCAGCTGATATCTAACTCATGCAATAAAATTATGAAACATGTAGGCAACGTATAGAGTCAGCTAGTACAAGGCAAGGTTCATTTAATTATGATGGCAAAAAAAAATTTAGCAGGCAACACAAAATATTCTGATGGTAACGATAGTAAAGATAGGACCTATGGAATCATATAAAAGCAGCCTAAGTACATGTTTACATTAGTAATCATTCATCATCATATACAAAAAATATTAGAGTGACAAAAAAGAGCAAATCATGAAGTTACCTATGCAGGAAGAATAAAGCTGAGAACTTTGTTGCTCTACAATAGCGATGCAGCTTTTGGAATGCATGTCTTTCAGCAGCATAACGCCAGATGGCTATGAGTGGTTAAGTACAACACAGGTGACCATGTTCACGGCATGGCAGTAGGTGCTGATCTAGTCTGATTACAACTACTTGTGCTATATTTTAAGCAAGTCTTCATAACGTTTCAAATGACAATGCTATCACAGCTAAGATTCTGTTGCCACATTGATTGATGGCTCAAAGTTTCATCTGAAAAATTGAACATTATGTTCAGATATCAGCCCCGCCACGGTGGTCTAGTGGCTAAGGTACTCGGCTGCTGACCCGCAGGTCGCGGGTTCAAATCCCGGCTGCGGCGGCTGCATTTCCGATGGAGGCGGAAATGTTGTAGGCCCGTGTGCTCAGATTTGGGTGCACGTTAAAGAACCCCAGGTGGTCAAAATTTCCGGAGCCCTCCACTACGGCGTCTCTCATAATCAAAAGGTGGTTTTGGGACGTTAAACCCCACAAATCAATCAATGTTCAGATATCACACAAAAAAAAAAAACACTTGTAGAGATGACACACTTGGAACAACAATGGTCTCTGTGGCTTGATTAAAGAGTGCTCCCGAGAAGACTAGATGTGTGCAATATCCCTGGGGGACAGCAGCTTCATCCTTAACATTCTTGGAGATCACACAAACCAAAGGTCGCTCTGTAAAAAGAAAAAAAAAAGTCTGTTATAAGCCATGAAAAAACTTCAAATTCAAATTTTAATGCTAGCAATATTAAAATGCCTATAACAAAAAAATATTTCTGTGGGCCACTTCATAGTTTCTTGCCATTATTGCATGAAAAACTTTCATGCATGTGAAGTGTATAAAAAAAGCACTTCACGGCCTTCTGCATGTGCCTCGTTATTTGATTCATTTTTACTTTTCATTAAATGATGAGGGGACCGGACAAAAACTGCAATAGCAACTCGAGAAAGTTCATGGCTCTTTGTTACACGACAGTGAAGTTGTTGCAGTGGATGTAACGCACATATAATATGCATGCTCAGAACACTAATAATACTTTCTAATAGCTAACCAATATTTCAGCTATGTAATTAAGTAACACAAATTTATGCACAAATCATATTCCCACAGCTAATACTACTAGCTGCCTTGTGAATTTTTTTTTTTTTTTGATGAATGAAAATTTTTAATAGTCTCCACAGGAGCAATCTACTCCTCACGCAAATATGAAGCTATTCACTATAACATTTAATGATTTGTAAGTGAAAAAAAAAAAAAAGGAACAGTACAGAGGTGTTTCATAAACAATGCAATTAAAAAATATATATATACATGTTCCAGTATATAAAGCTGGAAAATTCTAGGGCCCTTTAATTACACTGCACTTGAAGTTTTACAATAAATTATTTGACCTAATTACTGCAATTAACAGTCGAATTTGCCTCACTGCTCCCTAAGCCTCATGGAATTCCTGCAATCTTCGAGAAAAGTGCTCAGGATGAATACGTCCAGACAATTTTCTGAATCATACAACCATCACTGGCTTTCTGTGGCTGTGAGTGCATCATACTTACGGCTCATAACACATTCATCGACTTTACTACGCAACGCAGCACTCATAGATGGTGCGTTTTATACAGGAATCAGTAAAGACTTCCAGAGTCATTAAAAAATAAAGCTCTACCATTACCTACCAGAAGGGTAGGCTTCAAGGCTGCTGCTTGTTGTTGCAGTGCCCCCTTCTGTCTCAGATGGCTCTACAAAGCCTTTGAGGAATAAAAAGAAAAGCATTATCGACAAAGGCTACCTAGAAAATCTTCAGAGATATTAGCAGAAGTACTTCAAATGACAAATTGATGTACTTAATAGCACCTTGAAAAGCTTTCCCTGAGAGGAAATGTCACATAATTTTATGGTTGAAGCTACACTAAGAAGCATCCAGTCTCATTAACAATGATGATAACAGCAGCAACAAAAGAAAAGGGAGTAGCTTAGATATTTCTTTTTCTACCTTAGGAGATTCAGATACACATTTTCTTATTAAAAGCTTAGAGGGTTCTTGGTCACATGCCAAATCAGAAGATTCAGTAATTTACAGAAAATGTCAAGGAAAGCACAAATACTTGAACAAAACATTCTTAAATTGTAATTTAAGGCTATGGTGCTAATACGAAGTACAAAGACTATGGTACTAATACATGAAAGTATTGACAGCACATGGTCACAACTGATTGCCATGTCACGTGGAAGGGAGATTCTGCGGTCATGTGGAGATAGATAAGTTTATTAAGGCAAGAGAGGACCAACACTGAAGAGGGCAAATACGATAAGCCCGTGAGGGTGCTCAGGTAATGTCTTTTTGTGACTCTTAATTCAGATGTAGAAAAATGGTGTTGTTCCCCCGACAATGTGCCGAAACTTTCACAACTCAGTACCAATAAGATAGGACTCGGGAAGACCGTTTTTGGCAGTTTGAAAAGTACTCCAGCATGCATTGAGCATACCAAACTTCGCACAATGAAATGCTCTTGCAAAAAATATATGTGGTAGAGCAACAAAAATATTTTAGAATAAAAAAGTGTGAAATGTGGAAATATTTAGTTCCCAGCTGGTAAACAGTGCAATAAAAAACACTATATATACAAAAATATTCAAAACTAAATAATTTCAGAATGAACATTTTGTAGATAAATGGCCCAGGAACAGTATACAACATAATGAATTTTGTACAAAATGTTTCTCTTCACACAGAAAAAGAAAATCAGAGCTGAGGTGCTGCTTTGTTGCTCGTGCCATGCGGTGAAGCATTGCAGGGTTTTTCGTGAGACACAAGTGTACTCATATACTTTTCTCGGTAAATTTTTGTTGTCTTGCGAAAAGTCTCTCCAGGTGTTCCAATACTTTCTCTGTAAATAATCCCTCTATAATTGAGATGTCCAACGAACTTTGCTAGTTCGTCTAGCGTCAGCTCTTTCCATGAGCCACCTCACTCCGCATAGGCTGGCGTTTAAATGTACGCGCCCAAGCATATTTCTTTGCATATTTGCACATATCGTATTAAAAAAGGACAATATCACGTGCTTTTCTGAAACGTTTCACACTACTCCGTAGTCAGTGCCATGATGTGCTCTGGGGGCCTTCTTATCATTAGGAGAAGCTCTGCAGCCAGCGCCAGCACACCGCGCCTCAACGAAGTGCGGACCACGCACGTAACCAGAGTAGCTATGAGATTGTGCACAAAGGTCAGAAGCTATACGCACTTGCGGCGGAGGAGACGACTTAAGGATGTAAACAAGACAAACCCATTAATGGCGGCACATGTCCCAGGCTGACGCAAAACATCGTTGCCATAGAACTTGACGCTGAGGTGCTGTAATCCTCGAACTTTAAGCTCGTCCTCACTCAATTTAGATGGGGTTGCAACACAGTTTCGAGTAGCACATGTGTTTTGCAGTGCTGGTGCGCAGCCTTAGGCACGTGACGATGACGTCATAAGAGTGACTAGTGGCACTAAATGAGACCCTGCGTTTGATATAATGATGCAAGCAAAACCAAAGCCACTGGAAACTGTCCGAGAAGGCCCCCTCGACACTTCAAACACGCGGCAGACCTTCATAAATATTTTTTGTAGAACAAATTTTTTCTCACCTCTAAAAACAGCTCTCCGTTCAATAGCTGCCATAAATTTTTGGCAATTACTACTGCTAAATATTGTTAAACTGCGAAGCTGACAGTTCGATTCGTACTTGGCTTGCAAAGGTTCTTTTTATTACAGAACTTTGACCTTACTGTAGTATAATCATGAGGATCATGCACTTCTGCCAAGTTCATGCAAGACCAAAAAAGTTTAACATGCCAAAAGCGACGATCCAAAGCGTCGATAACTGGTGATCGATTCGATTAGGCGTGGTAACGAAAGAGTTAAGTAGCAGTATTACAAATAGCTTACCTTTTTGAATTCTGGGTATGCTTTTCTTTGTATTTACACTTTCATCTGGAAGAAAATGCGGAATTAGATAAGTGGTATTACCAAGCTTGTTATTTGAAATGTTACATACTATTTAGTTCTGATTTTGCTAAGGCATGGCCATGCATTAAGACTAATTACTCCATTTCATCTTGATATTAGACATCTTATGTTTTTAATAGTACAAACCCACTGCAAATGCCATCTTCGCAGCTGAATATTTTATGTATGAAACACACACACGCATGCACAACACATGCAGATTTAAACACTTTTATACACGCATTTCTACACTCCATGATTATAATTTCAGTTATAGTACTGCAGGCACAAAAACAAAGCCAATTGAAAACAGAAGGTTCAAAGCTCCATGCTGAAGTGCTTACCTAGCCACTGTCTCAGAGCCTTCATGCGTGCATAAGGAGTTCCATGGCAACGTCCTGAAGAGTCTTCGTAGTCATAGTTGAAAGCAGCCACACAGACAGCCTGAACACTCGTTGAAGCAGCGATTACCTACACCAACAACAGTAAACTAGATGCACATATAAACAACACACAGAGGGCACGAACACTCACTGAAGCAGCAATCACCTACATCAGGGGTCGGCAACCTGTGGCCCGTGGGGCAGTTTTGAGCGGTAACGGGCACAATGTCACCTCCTTTTCATTAAATTATTCATCACACCTAACAGGGCCAAATAGTGTATTGAGTAAAGGGGACAAGTACAAAGCACATATCAGAGAAAGTACATCAATAAATACCATGAAACAAAAAAGGAAAAAAGTTTACAGTACATTTAATAAAAAGTTTTTATACACAGCAAAAAACAAAACAAAAAGTAATGCTTCTAAAAGAACCGATGCACACGTCCACGACTTTCTGCATCTGCCGACGAGCAGCCTTGATAAACGTAGATATTTGTGAGCTGGCTAGGAATGCTTAGCATTGAAAGTCGCATCAAATATTTTTTTTTCGTCCTTGTAACCTGTGTTTATAATGAATTACAATCACATCACATGCATGCTGAAAATAAACATTATTTCTACTCTAGCTTTTGCAGCTCATTATTGCCCATTCACCAAATTTTTCTCTTTGTTTGCAAAGACTCTCACAATTGGCCGTGCCCCCCCCCCCCCCCCCCTCCACCACCTTGCGTCGGCTTCATGAAACTGCTTCAAAAGGCTCCCGACCCCTGACCTATACCAACAATAATAAACTTGATGCACATATGAACAACAAGCACATCTTATTCAAGAATTCTCATTACGAATTGGGAAGAACAGCTGGTGGCTTATGGACAGCATAAGATGGGAGAACAGAGAAGTGTCTTAATGGCACAGTCTGTCTGCGGAGCATGCTAACAATGACCGCAGTTATATAACTGCTCTAATGCAGCTCATTTATTACACCAATCTTCTTTCAAGCCACATTCACACATCTATTGATTTGGATGAAGTCAGTGAATACGTACAATGGATGGCTCTCACTTATCAGCATTGGAAAATGTTTCCATCAGTCAGAAGAGTAATTAAAAGGCCAATTTGCAAGCATAAAGGTTACTCTTGGAAAAGAACATTTAATGTACAAATCTGAGTAGGTGATAATTACAATGCCGCGACAACAATCAACACACATACACTCACACACATATATATACACACATTTTATGATTTCCATTTTGACCTTATAATTAAATTGCCTTTTTCTTTTTCATCTTCATGCTCTAAGTTAACGTATTAGTACTAGTTAACTTCAACACTGCTTTCCCTATCTTTTGCCAGAAACCAGTTTGTAATACTGCTGGCGTTGTGGCTATTTTCCTAACAATATTTACAGAATACTATAATGCTGTTGTTATAGTAAATTAGTAAAGGGTGAATAATGAATTATGTCTGACAGTTAGTCTAAATTATCATGTACCTGCATACCGGTCTATCATTAGACTGAACACATCAAAGTAACAGCGAGAGATGAAGGCAGAATGCACTAGTCCTTGATAGGAGAATACAGTTGAGTAAGGTGTTTCCAGTTAAAACACCTCCCATCTTGCTTATAAAACTGCAAGCTATTATCAGAACTACCTGAACGAACACAAGCTTCTTTTTTTTGGCTGCACATGTCCAGTATATATTTGATGTAGGCAAAAAAGGTCTATTACAGGCAATATAAATTTTCCAATAATATCACGTTCTTAGGGCTCCACAATATCGTTCGGCAAAAATACTGTTCAAGAATCGCATAAGAATGTGTTCAAAAATGCTATAAAGAAAAGAAAAAAAGAAAACTATGCACGTGTAGATTTGGAGTGGTAATTACCTTGTTCATGAGAGTTGATGGTGTCTCAAACGAGTGAAGAATGTTACTCAGCTGCCCAACACTAGTCATGGTGTAATCATCCTGCTTATATGTCCATTCTTCTTTGCCGCATACCTAAAACATTTGGAAAAAATGGTCATCAGAACATGATATTGTAACTGTTTCTGCTGCTGAACATTGATATGCCGATTCCTCTGTGTCGCATCCGATGATATGTGCACTACAAAATTACAAGAATATGATATTATATAAGCAAATAGAAATTAATAGATATGTTTAGCATTTTTGCATATGCTATAATTGCTTGTATCACCTGTAGGTATTAGTAAGATTAGCAGTACAAATGTCAGCAGCTATTACATAAATACTATATCTTGAAGTTGTTTTGTTGTAGTACACTCAAACCTTATCATAATAAAGTTGGACCTTACATGAAAATAAGTTCGTTATATCCAAAAAATCGCTATAAAGGTATATTCTTAACACTATGTCTATTGCAAAACTATTGTTCATTTAATTCATTATAACCAATATTTTGTTACATCTGGGTTCATTATATTGTGGTTTGAGTGAACACATATTAAATGTGAATGTCAAGAACCTACATTATAAGTATAGGAAGATTAATCATCATATGAGCAGTGTTTTTATACAAATACAGCATATATAAATGTCAGATTTCAGTGCAAGATTACTCAATTCTTCACCCACCTGTTCATAATGCAAGTGTTCCTCACTGTAGCACACTTGATCCATTACCGTGGGTCCATACATGTGGTATGCAAAAGCTCTCATGTCCACAGAAAAGCAGATGTGTGGAGACCCTTCAGTAGCATTGTGCATCCATTCTAGAGCAAGGTTCTGCAACAAATCAAATCACGTAGTCAATTGGGTGAGCTGAAATTGTTTCTACGATTCTGAATATGTTATATGGCTTAAACAATAATCGACGTATGTAACTGCGCGGTAGTAAACACGGACGACAAGAAGATACAAGGACAAGCGCAGACTATCAACTGAAGGTTTATTTTTCACAAACCACATATATATGACTGAACCAGAAACAGAAAACACGAAAATCTACAAAAAATGATGACTTGGCACTTAACAATCGACAAAACGTGTACGTTTGACAAAAGCAGATTCAAGGACCATGTGCGCCACTTGCCAGATACCGTAGCTCTTTATTGTAGCTCGCGCAGGCGCTCTAAATGAGCGCCTGCGCGAGCACGCACGCAATGTGCGCACTGGCAATGAGGGTTTTTTAGCTCAGCACGTCAGTAGGTGTGGCTGCCTTGCGCAGTTCGAAAGCACGGTCGTAATGTTCAGGCACAAAGACGATCATACCCGTATGATTGTCGAAGCGGAAAAAATGGCACGGGAACCAGAACACTGCGTCAGCAAACCGTCGTTAGCTCTTTTAGATAAAGAGCTACGGTATCTGGCAAGTGGCGCACATGGTCCTTGAATCTGCTTTTGTCAAACGTACACGTTTTGTCGATTGTTAAGTGCCAAGTCATCATTTTTTGTAGATTTTCGTGTTTTCTGTTTCTGGTTCAGTCATATATATGTGGTTTGTGAAAAATAAACCTTCAGTTGATAGTCTGCGCTTGTCCTTGTATCTTCTTGTCGTCCGTGTTTACTACCGCGCAGTTACATACGTCGATCATGAATCACCAACTCGCCCAATCGTCCACCTTGATTAAACAATAAATTTTAAGACCCTGTGGGCCAAAATTAACAGCACACTATTCACTAACAGAAGGCATGCCCAACAGCATTCTTGAAGGGACCCTGAAATGGTTTCGATGATTTTGTATAAACGCATTGAGCCGGTAAATTAGCCTTCAATAATCATCTGAAGACCAATTGAGGCTCTGCTTCAACTGTGTAATTTATTACAAGAATGTGTATTGTTACAAATAGCAGTGTTTTAGCCCAACAAGTTTTCAGTTTCTCGCGCCTTTTATACACAACTGTTCTAACACACGTAAGCACCATCAACTGATCTGACTGGATATGCCCACTCAATGCCATAAAATCTGCTGTGAACAGCGAGCATCATCCTTGTTGACGTGAGTGAACCAACAGTGTGTGTCAAGGTTTCTAGGAGACAATGAGAAGTCCTAGCTGTATTGTGTACCACCTATCTAGCAAGTGGTGACTTGTGAAGCTGCGACATCATGTAATGTTTCTGATGCATTTGGCAAGCAGAATTGCTTCAGCTCCTCGTCACGGCAATGAGTGTCATGCTCTTGCTATCTGGTCAACGCCACAATCCACGTGTCTGCACTGTACCCACACCTTCGGCACCACCTCCACCCCCTCACAAACACGTACACCATATATGCACATATATTTTGTTGAGACTGATTCACGTGTACAGATGACAGAAACAGCTAACTACTTACCACAGGCACCTGTGGTATACAGGTGGCCAATGGCTGGTTGAAGGTTGATGTGGGAGTAGCCCGACAGGGGCCATAGTCTCCACTGTAGTGCGTGTTCACAACAAGGAAGTCTACAAAACTGGAGAAAATAGAGCATTTACAGAGCACGGCGAGTACACTACATAACAAAAGTACTAAAGACAGGCTGCAACAGTTTGTTTTAATGCCATGCAGCCAAGGACTGTTAAAACTGTATAGGCTCCCAACTTTGTGTTAAGAGACAACCAAAGATCTGGAATAAGCTCCCCTTACAAAAAAGCTGGTTCTGTATGTGTAGTCTGCACTTTCATACTCCAAAACATGTTTCCTACGAGATGGCATGTGATGGCACGAAGAGTGTGCTTTTGGGAATTAACAGAAATAATTACGTGAAATATGGAGTTGAGCTATCTTGTATTTATTACACCATCTTCAGTTTATCACGGGTAATTACATATAAATACACACTGGTGTCACTAACAAGGCGCAGGAATACAAGGGTACAAGCAGCGACATATATAATGACAACAATGTCTCTAGCATTTTTTATGTGGATTAGTTACTATTCTCAGAAATGTTTGATTCTGTGTAAAAGTAAGCGCACTTTGAAAATACTGGCCAAGGAATCAGGTATGTTTCACCTGCACAATCCTTTCCGTAATAAACCAGTCTATAATTTAGCAAGGTCGTCTGGCCCCGGTAGAGTTCTGGATGTGCTCTTACGCAATGGACATTATGGATAGGCTGCCCGCGTTGACGCTGTGCCACCCCCCCTTCCCCTCTCGATTGTGGTTTCTGAGCTTGCCAGAGGCATATTTGTCCACCGAGTTTGTGGTAGGTGTTCTTTACTATGTCATAAGTGACACTTGTGCCGCGTACTAACAGTCACCGTGCGCCTAGTCTATATGCAGCTGTAAACGAAGATGCAACACGTACAGCTGCAGCATGTACAGTATATATAGTCGACTCACCTGCTCAAAATGCTCAGCTGGACACCGGTGTAAGTCGCTGGCTTATCGTAGTCCACAACTTGGAGGCTGAGTAGCACGCACAAGCCATTCTTCAGGTACACGTCGTGCAGTTCCTGCAAGAAACCAAGCAGTGCGCACCCGTTTTGTGCAGCCAGTCCTGCGCGACGCTAGCTGTAACAATTCATTTTAACAGGATTTTCTGCTCGTATAGATGCTTCTACTTGCAGTAAACGGCACACGCCGCGAGACCGTCGTGGTCCTGCACGCTCACCGAAGCGACGGTAATTAACTGTCATCTGTCCACCTGCAGTCACGGTGATTTAGGTAACTTGTTGGTCGAATTCCAGCTACAACTTTGTGTAGCAAATAAACGGACGCGCGTAGCGACATAGTTTCGCTTTTGGCACATCCTAAATAGCCTAAATAACAAAAAAGCAACAAAAAAAAAACGTGCAAGTGCATTCCCAAGAAGCCTAGCGGTCAAATCGACAGCAGCGCTCCAAACGACACAAACGAACTACATTTTCGGTTCCGATTTTAGGAACGCGCGAAGTTCGAGCGTTAGCACGCGTCATGTTTCGCTACGGTCATTCATTTATTGATTGCGTTGCGACTATTGCTTGAACTCGTGCTGTCCAGCATAGGCATGCGTTACTAGGGGGGGGGGGGGGGGGGGGGGCGAAGGTTCGTAGCTGTGCCCGCTACCTTTCTGTAATGTCATTGTATGGTGCTGATAAATTGCAACCCCCCTTCCCACATTGTGTCAATGCAAGGGGATTTAAGACCCTCTTAGACGCCTGTGCTGTACAAGTTTCGTCGCATGTTACGGTCGAACGATGGAAAGCACTCGGACTGATATGTCGCTGGTGATCCAGGGCATTAGTGCATCGGACAAAACACATGCACGTCTGCAATTTACTCGCTATGGCTCGCCTATGAGGTGAGAATCGACGAAGTTTCAGTTGACGGATTTGATTTTGAAGAAGATAAATTGCGCAACACTAGTTTGATTAAAAAAATGCGCAGACTTCTCTCACGTTGCGTGCTCCCACAGCAAACCAACAAAGATGTGCCACCTTTTAGCTTCGCGCAGTTGCGAAGTGTGAACACGCAAACCCATTAGTTGCATGCTCTTTGACGTCATTTCCTTGGGTAACTGAACTGAATGCCGGACACAAGTTTTCTTTTCCGTTAGGCCCCAGCTGGATGTAGGTGGCTAGAAAACAGTCTAGGAGCGCTGTATTCACAAAAATGCAGCGTAACACGCGTCTTAAAAGGGACCGCTGGTGAGCCAGAGTAAAACATAATGTTTTAAAGAAGGGCGATTGAACACACTACAGCTATATTGCTACTACTGATAATAATTAAAATAATATTAACAATATTATTATAATGACGACGTACGTCGCATTTGACGTCGTACTACAGAACAGCCGCCGCACACAAAAGTTACTCCATACCTTCATTTTGCGCGACAACGAAGGTAGCTGCCGAGTGGAACGACTAACGTAGAGGAGCGCCAGGCCGTCCAGATGGCGCTCTCGCAGCTGCCGCGCTGTTTCCTCGGCGCTTTCGGCAAGCGAGGAGAGTTGCAACAGTCGTTCGTGCACCGCCACCAGAACTCGAACACCGTTCTCCTGTATCTGAGACAGGTAGCCTGCGAGAGTGGGACACGACCTTCACAAACCTCTTTTCTCGTCTCGTGGGGAAACCTCTCTCCCGAGGCTGCGGGCACGGTGGCGATATTTTACAGCGCATCACAACCACGTATTGTAGATTTTATCTGTCCGATCCTGACGGTACGCGTTTTCAAAAAATAGTGCATTTTTTTTTCCTCTGGACCGCGCACTTGCTGCCAGGATGGACTTGTGTAATGTAACTAAGATGAAACCGTCGTGATGAGTTTTGTTTAACCGGACTAAAACAATAAGTGGTGTACAAAAAAAAAAGTACATGTGAGGGTGACACGAACATGTTGATGTTAACCTAAATTGCCGCGTGTTCTAAAGGCTCATTGATAACATACATTACAACCACTCTGCTAATTTTATTTACCTGTTATAATTCATTTGGTTACCGGTTTTTCAGAAAACGATCTTTTGATAGCAGATAATCGTTTCGGTTGCTACATATATGAAGCTTTACATATTTTTGTGATGAACAAACACTGGTGTAAAAAAAAAGAAAAAAAAAAGCTGCGGACTTTTGTCGCAAACCGCGATAGGGAAGATTGAAATGCGGGGAAGATGTTTACAAGGTAGTTTTGATAAGCTCACTGATTTCGTTGCCACAACGTGTCTGACGTTGCATAGAAGCGAGAAGGTAAGTGAAGTACGGGGTTGTGTTCACCGTTAGGAAGAACGGAGAGGTCAGCGTTTCCGAACTGCCGCAGTGAGAAGACCACGTGAGTGCAGTAGCTGGTGGTGACTGTCCGTGCGTTCTCCGTCCGTTCCGACAGCACGCACACCAGCGGACGCTCCTTCTCTACAAAGAAAGCAATTTAGTCAGCGCATAGATAGGTGTGCCTGTCAATAAGATGTCGCACCGAAACGGTGCACCCTCCTCCCTACCGCCACTTTTTTTTCTTTTCCCAGAAAGGGTTGAATAATGTGCCAGTTTGAACACTTTAGGAACGGAACTCGCAATGTTTGACAGTGATACAATGGCCGTAGCGTAGCCAGAAAATTTTTTCAGAAGAGGGGGGGGGGGGGGGGTCGTGTGTACAAGCATACTTTATGCATGTTTGCGTGTTCGTTTGTAGGTATGCGTATGTATTTCCCCGGCCGTGGTATTGCCACCTGTAGTCGGCCAACTGAGTGAAATGCATGGACAGAGGCACAGCGCAAGAAGTGCATGTGCTATCACCCTGGAGAGCGATCTTAACCGACGAGTTTGTCAAGGGCCTTGCTGCTCTATGACCAAGAAACCTCTCCTAGACCTCCGAAGACACTCTGCTATATATATTCTCAAGCAAAGTTGAAATATTTCAGGAGAAAAAATTTGACCCCCCCCCCCCCCCTATCAAGAGCGCACATTGTATATATGGAGTGACGACCTGACAATAGCAGCATGACTACACTGCTTCTGATGCTGCTACAGGGTAATTGACTCAAAAGAAGCGAAGCCACGTTACTATACTGTTTATAAGCAGAACTTCGTGTTTTCAGATAAATACGAAAAAATTATGATAAACGCTCAATGGTAGTTTTCGACAATTCGGATTTATCACGATTGGCGGCGCTGTGCTCTGCTCTGTCAAGTCAAGAACGAAATTTGAGTTGAAGCTTGTTTAAGAATACGGGTGTTAGTGTTCTGTCTCACTTCAACGAATAAATGCGGTCGAAATAAAGCGGTGAAATCACGCTTACTTATTTAAACCAGGTGTTCTTTTCAACGGCTTTATAACCCGGAAAGACTGGAATATTTTATGATTACACTGCAGAGCTTTCAGATATTGTAGTAAATGCCTGCGCATACGTGTGCATCCACCACAACCAAGTGGAGGCGGTATGACGAGCATTACATTGCTCACACGACAGTGCCGCTGTCTAGCATCACGCAGATCAAAACCAAACTATCATTATCGCCGTTAAGTATACCGCTGCAATATTGCATTGCTGTCATCGTTCCATAATGTTATTCACTATAACAAATTATCGCATCGATAAGATTGCACAAAACACTCTGTTACGCCAGCATATATGGTGCTACGCAATATTTATAATCATTAGGCAATTTTCGCATAGATACAGTCCAAGATGTACGATGGAGTCTCGTTGATATGATTCTCATGGACATTGAAAATAAAAACAATATCCCAAAAGCGCATTATCCAAAGCACGGCCCACGTGATCACGAGCAGAACGTACTTGGCACAGAACTTCCTTTTAATAAAGAACTATAAAATAGCCACTTTGCACTGAACGTTTTTACTTTCGATATCTGCAGGAAGCTTTTCTGCAACTCGTAGAAACGAGTAGCAGGTTCAGCACTGCACTAATCAGCTGCGACAACGGTACGAAACGCTGCTAAAGCATCGAGTGCATATATCTAGTTAGTAGATGACGATCACCTGTGTAAACTCCTGTCCCCGTTGTCGTCATTGCACTACCTGCAAATGCTGGTGTGCCTCGATGAGCCAGCAACACCCATGGCGTAGTACCTCATTGCGTGACGATCGAAACTACGCGAGGTTTTAAGACGTTTTCGCCATCGTAATATTAAAGAATACACGGAAGTACGATCGTATTATCCGTACGAAAATGCATTACCCCTAGAGGGGCGTCAGCCGGTAACGAAAGAAAAAAATAGCGCTATCATGCCAAAAAACGTATTAGGAGGGATAACATGTACGAGATTTCAGATATTGGGCTCTTTCTGTCCATGTCTCTTCTTCTGTAGTTACGTCGTAGCTACTCGTAGTCCTTGCGCTGTGCAAATATGTTGATTCAAATGTTGTACCGTGGTCCACGTAAGATGAGGTTGTGTACCTTTTCCACGTGGCATGCATCGCTTGGAAGCTTCAGCTTGGTCTTCGTTTCGTTCTTTCGTCTTCAGGAAGAGAACGCCCTGCAACAATAACAAAAAAAGGTCACAATATACTCGCGGTCAGCAAGTTAATGGCGCATGAGAACCAAATCACTCAGATTTATTACTGGCTGCTGTTATTGCCATAAGCTTATTTTATCAGTTTCTTTACCAAAGAAAACGTGCTGGCAGGTGCGGCTACACCAGTAGAAGTGGTTGCGGATTCAACATTTTTTTTTGTTTCTTTGAAAGCTCCTTTATTACACAGTAGAATGAATGGTGATGTCACAGGAACTACTCGTTCATCCTCAGTTTCTGTGAATACGGAAGTTTGCACAAAACTGCAATCATTTATTTTAATGCTTATGGCCACAGGCTTGACTAAACACTATCTTGTCGACAAGCATTTATTGTCAGGTGCTAGAGAACAAAAACGCGGGCGATTAAAGAACGATGAAAACTCTTCGGTATAGACATCTTGTCGCAGAAAGGAAGGCTACAGTTCCGCTCCAAGATCGAAACAATGAATGCCATAGCAACGTATTGGATTGTTATACGAATTAAGACTACAAGATAACTCTCTTGATTTCGATTTCACGTAGCTCTACAAAAACGCTGATGCGATGGAGTATGGCTGCTCCGTGGCGAGGATCGATTT